CAGATCCCAAGAGCTATGCCAGAACTGCTGAGAGGCAGATCCTTGAAATGGTTTATTGCCAACAAGAGGTTATGGGGGCAGATTTCATAAAGAGCTTTCAGAATGTTTGAAGAGTTAGACACCCAAAGGGAGAGGACCGGACCCTGTGCGGAGGGGCTATGTATTTAAATCGGCACAAATCTGCCGGAGATGCGGAAGCCAGGACCACTAGAGGCGGGAGTGCCGGAACCGGCCGATCAACTTCTGCAAGATTTGCGGGAGAATTGGTCCAAGAACCACGGAGTGCTGCCCGAGATCGCGAAATGCCGCCCGACCCAGCCTCAGATGGGCAACCAGGTTTTCAAGGTACTGCCCGTAAAATAAATGGGCGTACTGAAGGCGGAAGAGAGGCAACTGTCCGCCACAATTCTCAGAGACGGAGTGGAGACCACGATGGATACCGGAACCACAGTTAGTTTTATTAGCGAGGAGCTGTCGGACACGTTGCAGGCTGCGAGAGAAGTCGTACCCACGAGGAGAGATTTGCAGATGGCAGCTGGAAGATATGAAGAAGTCACATAGCTGATCGAAGTGGATATAGGACTCGGGGAGGGGACTGTACGGATACAACTGCTAATACTCCACAACATAATCGACGCTCTAGAGCTCCAAGGTATCGGTACAGATCCAGAAAATGTGGCGGGAATAGCGCAGCTGAAGCCTCCAAGGAACGTGGAGGAGCTACGACAGTACCTGGGAGTGGCATCGTGGTACAGGCGTTTTCTACCCGATTTTGCGACACTCGTACAACCATTGAGTGCACTCCTCAAGAAGCAGGCAAGGTAGGAGTGCGCGGACTCCTACCAAGTCGCATTCGAGGCCGTCATAGCCAGGCTGGTCGCTTTTCCAATCCTGGCGTGCCCGAACTTCACAAAGACGTTTGTGTTGCAGACGGACGCCAGCGGTAATGGGCTGGGCGCTATTTTCACACAGCAGTGTGACTTATTCCAGTACAACGTGGAGGCCGGTTGGTTTTACCGGCACATTCCACACCGGGCAGGAAGTGAGGATTCATATATGCGCCAAACTAAAGGTGACTTGAAAGGACTGATCAGCAGTTTTGGCGTGGCTATAGATTGTTTTCTTCGAACTGATGATCTCCTTTCCGCGCTTGATTCCAATTTAATTGCCAAAGAGAGCCGCTGGTGGTAGGCTGCCAAAGGGGAAAGGAACCGTAGCCTCTGGCAAGTAATCGACAGGAATTCACAGCTAATCAGTTGTCGACCGCAGCAAGTCCTCAAATGTTGCTGAGAAGCTAAAACAGATTCCGTTGTGGACGGAGTCCACTTTGGGATTGCTGGAGATTCCGATTTCTCTGCACTGGTTTCTTAACCAGTGATTCCACCTGTCCCGATTAGTTTACCACGACAGAGGAATATTGCAAGTTGACCCTTCAGAAACATAATCTGCAGAGCCAAAACCCCTCGCGATGGTTCCACTAAAGAAAAAAATTTTCGTGTCTCGGTTTTCCCCTGATAAAACATCATCTGTCCACGTCCCGATGCAAGCCTCTACTGAAACTGCTTACCTTATCACTGGAATCTTCACAGTTCCCCCATATATGGGAGGATTCCTTTGTGATCCCTCTCCATAAACAAAGGTAACGAATTGGATGCGAGCAATTACAAAGGAATCTTTAAATTGTCGGCTATCCTTAAGCTTTTTGAAAATGTCGTGTCAACCCAGGACACGCGACTTACACTTTAAGCCAGAATAACAGGGTTTCATGATCTTGGTGTTCTTCTTAACCATAAACTTAAATTTTTAGACCATAGTTCGTCTATTGTCAATGAGGCCAGGGGTGTGCTTGGTTGGATACATGACAAAAACCTTATTCATTTCGCTAGTCCGTCCGATTCTTGATCACATGTTTGGAGTCCACAATACCAGTCCACTCGGACCGCATTGAATCGGTTCTTATTGTTTGTTGGTTCTTTGTTTGTAATGAACTGTTTATCATGGTTCTGCTCGCTACGAATTGCAACGCCTAGCTCAGAGAGTTTGTTCTTTCGTCCCACCAAATTTATGATTTTTGTAATTGCTCGACCAAGGAGAGAACAGGATTTCAGATTTCTTTATTGTTAGACCACTTGATAATGGACTCCTATAGTCCTTGTCGTCTGCTGCGCGGCGTCGCTCTTTCGTCGTCCTGCGGCGTTTCTCGACAGCGGACCCCGTGCAGGCTCGAATGAGATCTCGGATGTTATGGGTGCGGGCCGCAAGGTGTGTCGTCCGTTAGGTCGAACCAAAACTCTTCCAGAGGCGAACCCGGAAGCACACGCCTGTTAGGACCGCTCCTGACTGCCCCAAGCTATAGGCCGGGGTGATCCCGTTATTTCCCCCTTTTGCGCACGGCCCGCTCGGGTTCAAGGTCCAAAAATGTCCCTTTAGTTCACGGTCCTCTCCAAAGTTCATGTAACCATTCGACCTCTGTGTCCTTCGCCGCCTCGAGTCCAAGGTCCAGCGCGGTACCGTTAGTTCACGGTCTCTTCGCTTTGCCGTCGTCCAAGGTCTATTATTTCCCGTTTGACGTGGCCGCCCTTGACTCCTCCTGCATTCCAGCCTTCTTCGCTGTTGCTGGGCAGCTCCCCTTCACCTCGATTTGTGGGGAGTTTTAAGACTCCTCACAACCTTCTTTCTAGTCCAGTAGACTAATGTTAATTAATTTACCTTTTCTATCTAACCGTAGAACGATGGTTGGAACAGTCTTTATTTGTAATCTGATTCATGGTGAAGTTGATAGTTCGGACTTGTTTAGTGGGATAAACTTCTCTGTTCAAGATTCACTAAAAATTAAATAAAATAAAATCAAATAAAATCTTACTAAAATTTATAAATTTCTTCGTTCCTTTTTTTTCCTACATCGCGTCTATCTTCTAAGCCGTTAAATGCACGGCAGCGTCCCTCTATATTATATTAATAATATGACATTAGCGATGGAGGCGAACTTGTAATATTATTGTTGGACCTAATTAAATGTAATCTTTTCTCTAGTCTTTGATTTTCATATCAATTTCCTTAGGCTATTGATCCGGATCAAGAATATATATAATTTATATAGTCGGAAACGCTTTCTTCTAACTGTTACAAACTTTTTAATGAATCTTGTATACATTTTTACTCTACATTTAAAGTTCATTACACCTTTATACTTATAGCTTAAGACTCGAAAAAAAACTTTATTAAAATTGTAGCAATTAAGAAATTTGTATAAAAAATAAAAAAATTATACAAATTTTAAATTTTACAACAGAGTTGACAGAACTTTCAATATCAATTAATATTCAACAATATACAGACTTAATATTTACCGATAGAAATAAAGGGATATAATTATTCCTAATAATAAGAAATATACAATTTATAAAAAAATATTAATAATTCTCTTGTTTGTATAAGCTATAATATCATTTTTTACCTTTATATAAAATGTAACACTATTATAGACTATTTTGAACCCAAAGTATGCAAAAATATAGAAACAGTTAAGGAAAAAACAAGATAGAATGCTATAGTCGAGTTCCCCGACTATCAGATACCCATTACTCAGCCAGTGGAAGAGCGAACGTGAAATTTCTTAATTTTCTTGAACATCTTGAAATTACGTAAAAAAAAATATAAAAAATGTTTAATTTTTTCAAAAGTGTGGGCGTGGGCGGTAGAGTGGGAGTGGGAAAACGATAGAATCGATAGAAATGTATAAGACTAATAAAAAAATGAATAAATATCACATTTTTCAAAAGAGTAGGCGTGGCAGTTTTGGGCGGTTTGTGGGTGTAAAAGGGGGCGTGGCAACATTTTGAAACAAGCTGCGCTGCGTCTATGTCCCTGGAAGCTTCTTGCTTAACGTCAACATTCTAGCATTTGTAGTTCCTGAGATCGAGACGTTCATACGGACAGGCGGACGGACATGGACACGGACATTTACTCTACGAGTAATGGGTATCAAAACTGAAATATAAGACATTGACAATCCAGTATCACATTTGTATCCAGACATAATCGCTTGACGACAAGCTAAAATCTAAAAGATGGGGGTATTCATTCTCCATATGAAAAACTTAAATGGAAAAACTTCACTCTTTAAAAGCTTCAAGACAACAATTAAAACAAAAGTGCGAACTAGAAATTTCAACATTTTCTGGAATATCGGGAGAGATCACGATATAAAAATAAAATAATAAAATAAATGAAAACTGAAAAATTTTTGAATTTTGCGGACTTAGAGTGGGCGTACCAAAAACTTATGGAAAACTTATAGAAATAAGTTATAGAAAAAAGCTTAAAATTATTAAATATTTTAAAAGTGCGGTCGTTACAGTTTTTGACGGTTTGGGGGCATTAGAGAATTTGACAGATTTATAGAAATTTACAAGATATATAAAAAATATCACAAAAAATTTCAAAGCTGTTTGGCGGTTTGTGGGCGTAGAAATGGGCGTGCCAAAAAGTTTTTTGGTAAATCTGTAGAAATTTACAAAATATATAAAAAAAATTACAAAATATCATAATATTTTTTAAAAGTGTTTTTGACAGTTTTTGACGTTTTATGGGCGTTAGAGTGAGCGTGGGAACATCAGTTAATAAATTTGCGATGCGTCTGGCTCTGGAAACATGTCTCATCTCAACATTCTAGCTTTTATAGTTCCTGAGATTTGAACGTTCATACGGACGGACAGACTGACGAACATGGCCAGATCAACTCGACTATTGATCAAAGCTGTCACCCACACTTGAAAAATTTTCTAATATTTTTTAATTTTTGTATATGTCTTGTAAATTTCTATCGATTTGTCTAACAACTTTTTAACACGCCCATACTTTTGAAAAATGTTTAATTTTTTTTTTTCATTATTACGTTTTTTCTCGTTCACACTAGCTTAGTTCGGGTATATGATAGTCTGGATAGACAATAGCGTTTACTGTTGTTTTCCTTTATAATTTTGTAAATAAAAACATACCTTCTTCTTTATTTATCATGCTGTTGATGTTTCCACTTTTTATGACGCCATTCGAATTTTCACTATTTGTGAACTTTAACAAATCAATCCCTTCGTTATGTTCTTCGTTCTCTTGTTGAATTTGATTTGCGATATGGGTTTCCTGAAATCGTAACACTTCGTTTGGGCCCTTCTTGTGACTCGCTGGGTGCTTCCGACGCGATTTTCCTGTTGTTTGCATGTGAGGTGTTGGGGTCGTGGTCAACTTGGGCGGCAGCCGTAGCTCTGCAAGACATTACGAAATTTAGAATGTTCATTAAAAGATAACATGATTCCTGCTTAGTGTTTCGTAACATTATTTAGTTGTATAATATTTTTATTTGGTTTTTCATTTTTTTTCTGATGCTATACACCATTGAACTCAACCTCTTTAGTCTTTATGGTAAAGAATTGTTATAATTGTCAATGATTTTTTATTTAGTGATTCGAATTTGTATACACCGAAAATAACATGACTATGTGGAATTTTCGCATAAAATGCTGTTACAATATATTTAAACATTTTTAAGCAACACAAACGCGATTTATAACATAGAAAAATAAAACAGCTCGAGGAATATCCTTTGTTACGCAATTTATTTAAGTGTCATCCATCATCTTTCCCACATGTTCTCGCTGCAAGAACTCAGCTCTCAATCTAAATAATCGCACAAGCTTATGAGCTTTGTGTTTATATTTCATGGCCGCGCAATACGATCCCCCATGTCATCACCGAAAGCCGACCCCTTCTCCATATATGTACCTTAACTAGCAACCTTATATAGGTCACAAATAGGTCAAGGTTAGCAAAAATGTATATTTTAGGACCAAACCAGTGTTTTTGTATTTAGTATACAAAAAGTTTGATGAAATATTTTTATACCCGTTATACCCGTTTGATGAAATATTTTTATACCCGTTACTCTTAGAGTTAAAGGGTATACTAGATTCGTTGAAAAGTATGTAATAGGCAGATGAAGCGTTTCCAACCGTATAAAATTTGTATATTCTTGATCAGGGTCAATAGCCGAGTCGCACTGGCCATGTCCGTCTGTCCATCCGTCTGTCCGTCCGTGGGTTTGTCCGTATGAACGCTTCGATCTAAGGAACTACAAAAGCTAGAATGTTGAGATTAAGCATGCAGCTTCCAGAGACATAGATGCAGCGCAAGTTTGTTAAATGATGTTGGCACGCCCACAAACCGCCTAAAAGTGTCACGCCCACACTTTTGAAAAATATTTTCATTTTTATTCATTTTTTTATTAGTTTTATAAATTTGTATTGATTTGCCAAACAACTTTTTGGAACTCCCACTCCAAATGTTGCCACGCCCACTAACACCCACACCCTTGAAAAAAGTGATATTTTTTATTTTTTTATCTTTGAATATATCTTGTAAATTTTGTATAGATCTGCACAAAAGCTTTTCCCCAAGCTGTCACGCTCACACTTTAAAAACTTTTAATTTTTTTTTCAATTCACTTTTTTTCTTTTAGTTTTGAACGATATTTTAAATAATGTTGAAAATTTTCGTTCCCACTTCCACTAGTTGAGTACCGGGTATCTGATAGTCGGGGAACTCGAGATTAGGCAAGCAGAGACATAGACGCAGCTCAAGTTTGTTAAATGATGTTGCCACGCCCACTCTAACGAACACATACAGCAAAAAACTGCCACGCCGACACTTTAAGAAAATTGTAAAAAAATATTGTATTGCTGAAGGGCCAACTAGCACCGGTTGTCCGGACTCAATATTCCTTTGTGGTGGTAAACTAATCGGGACAGGTGGAATCACTGGTTGAGAAACCAGTGCACACAATGCGGAATCTCTAGTAGTCTCTTGGACTGCCTCCAAAACGGATTGATTGGATTGCTCCGAATCTTTTTTAGCTGCCGATCTAAGCAAAATTTTATGATTTGCTGCTATTGACATCTGATCAGTTGTGGAGTCCTTTTGATCACTTGCCGGAGGGTGCGGGGGATCATCCGCTCGACGAAAACTATCTCTAGCCACGCCAAAACGGCTGATCAGTCCATTCAAGCCACCTTTAGTTTGGCGCATAAACGATTTAATCTCGTTCGCAACCCCTAGGCAAGCATCACAACAGGGGCCGCTAAAACCTGCGCACTTAGTGTGCTCTATTTTATCACGCAGCCAACGAGTCATTTTTGGCTGCTCAGTTCGAAATTGTGCAAATCGAAAGAGATTTAATAGTTTAATAGGAGTTTTAATAGTTATGTGTACAAAGTGGAATTATTAAATAACTTTTTAATACCACCGCTGGTTTTGGCAAAAGAAAAATAAATTCAATGCGCAGAAAAAAACACGACCGTTCGCTTTGAAGTTAGAAGACGATATATATTTTGATTTTATTTATTGAATCATTCAATTTCGAGACCAACAGTAAGTGTATCAAATCTTATATTATAACCTAACTAGCAGTCATGTAGACAGGAACAGTAAAAATGGCCTGACAAATTATGGCTGGGTCGGTACGTTGCAGGCGGGTTCGGCTGGAATCCCGAGTCAAGTCCGAGAGGATTTGGGTGGGCAGAGAGTTTAACATTGTAGGACGCTGTTTGCTAGTCTATTTCATCTTTTTCTGCGTGAATGCGGCAAACATCCCTGTGGATGTCGAATGTAACATAGTGCCCCAGTGATAGCTGGGAAGCTCCGCTGATTCTTCTTTGCGCTCATCTTCCCGCTTGAACCGAACTTGTTGTTGTTGCTGTTGCCGTGGCAACATTTTTGAGACGCAAGGCAATATAAAATATATAATAGAGTGCAACGATTAGCAGATTTGTTATCAAGATCTGCGTAAATTTTATTTGGTGATTCCGTTCAGCATGTGTGATTGGAGCTGATCGATGAGCTGCAACAAACGTTTCGGAAAATTGAAAGCCATTTGAGTGAGAAATTTGATGATGTTCTCATAACGCTTAAATCCTGTTTGAGGGACACGGAGTTGGAAACCGTTCGCTCACTGGAAATTTCGGAGTGCAACTATGCCCTGAGGGAGTTCTTACAAAACAGATTTTCTAATCGACGTAAGGGCAGTCGAGAGTGGTTCCGTTTAAAGGCTTCTTGAGCGGAGTTTCAAACTGTCTTTACATCCTGAACATAGACAACCACTCTTCAAATTCGAACTATAACCTGACTCTGAAGCTATCGGGAAAACGAAGCTATAGTTCTTCTGCATTACCGTAGCAGAACCACACAAGAATACGGCCATAAGTGAGCATACTGCACACTGCGTTCAGTTTGTATGGAAACTGTTGCGGTAGCCACACAGCAAACTATAGAGGCTTTCCAATATAGAATCACCCTAAAACGCCAACCTCGTCTCACGGCATAAGCTAGAAAAAACTCAATCATATTAACGTCATGCTTCTGTCGGAAAAACAAAAGCGGCTTTTTGTTCCACGGAAGAAATCATCCGTACAGAAAAGCACACGGCGGAACCGGTATCTTGATTAGAAATCAAACACCACTACAATAGCGAGTTTTGAAACAACAATTTGCAGCCCACATCTATAAACGTACAACTAGGTAACTGTCACCCTCTTTTTAATATACACGTATCCACACCACAATTTCTGGACTTCTTCAACACCCAGGGGTGACTACAACGCAAAAAAAACATTCATCATCGTCATTCCTAAACGAAAACAGTTGTATAAAGCCATCAACAACTCAAAAAGATAGCTTAACTACGTATCTTCAAAATTTAAACAAAATTCCTGGTTTGATAAATTTTGCAATTACCAAGAACATCCTTAGAAACATCATTAGTGCCAAAGATAACAAACTCAGTCAAATACAGAAAATATATAAGTTCATTCAATGAACTAAATCCCAAGATAAATCTATAGAATCCTCAGCAAGCTCCCTGGAGAGTGTCATAGCTGCAGCTGCTACCATATCTACACAAGCTCCTTAAATCGTATCTCTGCTACACAGCCTTTGCTGTGAGATGAAACTCCCATAAATCCCACGACCACGCAATAATCGCTGGAGTTCCCCAAGGTAGCGTACTTGGGCCTACGCTATATGTCCTTTACAAAACCAACAAGCAGACTGCTAACGACTTTTACGTTTACCGACGACACAGCGATCCAAATGCCTTGTATATGTACCAACCCAACTCTCTTGTCACTTAGTGGCCGTGGAGAAGTGGCTGTTCGACTGGCGAATCAAGAAATGTATGTAAAAACAAGATAGAATGCTATAGTGGAGTTCCACGACCATCAGATACCCGTTACTCAGCTAGTGGAAGTGCGGTGTGTGGACGTTAGAGTGGGCGTGTATTAAAAAGTATTTTTTTTTTTATTTTGGCAATCTATAGAAATTGACAAGATGTATAAAAAAGAGAAAAAATATCAGAACATTTTTTAAAGTGTGGCCGTGACTGTTTTGTGCGATTTGTGGGCGTTAGTGTGGGCGTGGCAACATTTGGAAACAAATGACGCGCTGTGTCTTTGTCTCTGGAAGCTGCATGCTTATTCTCAACATTCCAGCTTTTGTAGTTCCTCAGATCGAGGCGTTCATTCGGACAGACGGACATGGCCAGATCGACTCGGCTATTGATCCTGATCAAGAATATATATACTTTAAATGCTCGGAAACGTTTCCTTCTGCCTGTAACATACTTTTCAACGAATCTAGTATACCATTTTACCGAGTAACGGGTATAGAGATCTTTGGAAAAATTACAGAGAAAATTTGTTGTATCTAGAAAATATTTTATTTCAAGAGTTTGTCAGTAATACAGGTTTCTAGGTTTGCTGGCGCTACCGGAAAGGCTTTTGAATTTGTGTATGCGAAGTAAGGAAATTTTGAAATCATAATACCCAACAAAAATTGTATTAATCCAATTACAAATCAAAACAAGGGAAACCGCTATAGTCGAATTTCCCGACTATCGGAATTTGTTTGCCATATCGATAGAAAAACAATTATAGAATGAAAAACAATTAGAAGCAACGGGGTCCAGCTCCCACACCTATTACCTCAAAAATATGGATTGGCTAGCTCCCCCGATGATATAGTGTAGTGTAGTGTAGAATCAGTATCCAAAACCCTGCGAAACCCAAACCAACCCCGTGACCATTTCACCACCGATCTTTATCCCAGACGTGAGGAACATCTAATTGATAACAAATTTGCTACTCGTTCCCCTCTGTTAAACATGGCTGTCGCCTTGCGCCTCAAAAATGTCACCCTCTTTGCATCCGCGGTAACGTTTCCAGAATTTTTATATTATTTTTTTATTTTATTTTTTTTTTGTAGCAGCAATGGCAACAGCAACAAGAAAAAATCCTTTCAAGCGCATAGAGCGCAAAGAAGAATCAGCGGAGTTTCCGTTATTTGGCTTTAATGTGCAATCATTGCAGACATATGTAGCTTCGATTGTGATGAATTAAAACCGAAATATTATATCATCTAAAAACTTGTGTGTACAGAATTAGAACAGGTTAAAATAACAACAACAGTAAATGTAATGTTCTCAGATTATTATATCCATTACTCGTAGAGTAAATGGGTATACTAGATTCGTTGAAAAATATGTAGCACACAGAAGGAAGCGCTTCCGACCATATATTCTGTATTCCTTATATATATTTTTGACCAAGATCAGTAGCCGAATTGAAGTGGCCGTGTCGATCGGTCCGTCCGTATGAATGCCTCAATCTCAGAAATTATAAATGCTAGAAAGTTAAGACTAAGCATGCAGCTTCCAGAGACGTAGACGCAGCGCATGTTACCACGCCCACTTCAACGCCAATCCGACAAAAACTGCCCCGCCTCTTCAGCTTTGAAAAATATTTTGATCACGCCCACATTTTTTGGGCATATTTTTACATTTTCTTTAATTTTCAAATTTTTGCGCCCCATTTCTACAGATATTCAAGAAAATAGTGACGTTTCCCGGTCGCACTTTCACTAGCTGGGTAACGAGTATTAGTGGGGGAACTCGACTATGGCATTCACTCTAGTTTTTTCATTACCAGCTAGTGGTGGTCCCAACCCACTTCAGAACAAATAATCTTGTTTAAACAGTGCATTTGGACCGTATTTAAACGACTTTTTAGGGACAAGAAACCATTTAAATAATGGAAATTAGCTCGATATATGAAAGGTCTCATGACTTTTTGATAAACCTGTAAGATAAGATTAAAAAAATATCTGAATTATATACTTCTATGGGCGTCTAACCTCTTATAAAGAGGTTACTTATAAAAGGTATACTTTAATTTGCTATACTTTTTGTATAACATAAACAAGTTTATAAACATAAGCTAGCCGAAGTTAACTTCCTTTCATATTTTTTTTACGAGTATTATTCATATTTGAGCTATATTTCCGACTTACCTGCTGTACTATAAACGGTTTGATACTGTTAAACGAAGTATATAAAATCGAAATAATAAATACTGTAAACAAATTATCCGAAAATTGCGAATTTTGTTGTCCTTACGATTTTTGAGCTACTGTAACAATCTTGAAGATCTTGAATAAAGTGTAATACGTAACGAAATATGATATCTAATTTTGAATTTTAAATGTTCCCTTCTACTTAGACAAATTTATAGCATCCAATACTCTAAGCTCTTGGATCTCTTACCTTGCAATCGAATGAGTGATTCACTTTTGCCAAGGGCATTAACGCTTGAACAACTATAAGTTCCAAAATCTGATTTGGTCAGATGTCTTATGGTAAGGTTGAGGTGCCATGTATATAGGTTAATCATTTCTTCAGAAATATTGTATTTGTTTCCGTTGTGCAGTTTAATATTTCCTATAAAATAGACAAATGAGCTTCTAATGATTATTTAAATTTACATTTTTTACCTTCACTGCGGTACCAACCATTAAGAGGCTTGGGGTAAACTTCTACAATGCATTCCAAAGTTACTTCTCTTTCAACGGGTGCTCCAACCAATTGACTTATGGCTTTAATTGTTGGCGAAACTGAAAGAAATTAATTATACCATTCTGACAGAACAAAATTTAACTTTACATAAAAAATTTAGTTTATTTTGTAAATACAATTGGGTAGAATTTAATGATTGACTAAATAAATATGGTGTAACGAATTGTTTTCATTAGTTTTGCTCGCTACGAATTACAACGGCTAGCTCAGACAGTTTGTGTGTTCGTCCCACCAAATTTAAGATAAGACAGAGTTTAGGTTAGAACAGCTTTATTTGCAGGCTTCTTTAATGACCGACTCCTATGGTCCTCGGCTGCGCGGTGTCACTCTCCCGTTGTCCTTCCCTTGCTTTACGACCACGCTCTTTCCCGGACCACCTTGTCCGACCAATGACTGCACTGACCCTTCTGACCGTGCTAGGTTCCTGTGCGCTGCCGATGCCCTTCGTTGTCCAGCGGCGTCCTCAACCGGGGGGCTTAGGATGTTATGGTGGGGAGATTTATCGTCCGTTAGTTCGGACCACCTTGACCGACTAATGACTCTACTGTCCCTTCTGATCGCGCCTAGTTTTCCACTCTCAGGGACCGTCCTCCTGCGCTGCTCTTGTTCTCACTGAATGTTTAGTTGTCCCGGGGTACAGCTCTTCGCGTATTTAGCTGACTGTCTCCTGAGCTGCGCTTGCGCATCCCCTTTTATAGGCGGGGATCCCGTTATTTCCACCTTTTTCGCATGGCCTTTAGTTCACGGTGCGTCCTCCTTGTGCTTGTCCAAAGTCCGCACCGTTACCGTTCGACCTTTGTGCCCTTGGCCGCCTTCAGTCCAAGGTCCAGCGCGGTACCGTTATTTCACGGTCTCTCCGCTTCGCTCGGGTGCAAGGTCCACATATTTCCCGTTTGACCAGGTTGACCTTGACTCCTGCTTTCCAGCCTTCTTCGCTGTTGCCAGGCAGCTTCCCTTCACCTCGATTTGTGAGGAGTTTTAAGACTTCTCACATCTCCCCCTTTCTTCAGAAGTTTTTGAAAAGATGGAGCTTCCGGCGGTCCTCCGCTTAGGTGTCTCCTCGCATAGGCAGTTCCCTCGTCTCTCTTTTCGTCTATCCTGCGCCTTTTGTTCTCAGCCTGGCAGTCTCAGCCTAGTAGACCCCCTCGTTTTGCGTTTTGACTTGGCATCTCGAACATCCTCGCGCCCTTCTCCAATTTCCTTCATCTGCTGCTCGTCAGCAGCTCTGTATTTAAACTTCCCGCCTCCTTTTGAATTCCACACCCTTTCGTGTCTGGCAACTCCACCGAACCTCACCACGATCGAGTTATCGATTTGATGGCCGGCGTTGCCACTTCCTGTTTATGCCGATATTCCTGGGGTTGCCATGTTGTACTGATTGTTGCCAATAGTGTGACAACGTGTTGAATATCTATGTGTATCCAGTATTTTTGTTCCCTATCGATCGAGCCCCTTCATGCTCTGCGGTGGCTGGCCCTGGACCCGAGCGCCCCGGAGGCCAACTTGCGGCAGCAAGAGCCTCACCTCGTTCTCGTCTGTTGGTGCCAGGCAGGCTTGCGCTGGGCTTAATACCCTCCTCCCGCCCGTTGGTGTCGTGCCTCGACGGACCCGTGGTTTCCTCCTGGCACCTCCTGCACACCGCGTTCTGCTCCCCTCTTGGGAAATACCGCTGGTATCGAGCCCTGTGATTCCGCTCCAACTCGAACCGTTCCCTTTGGATGTCCAGCTCTTCAAACTCGTCGGCCAGGGCCATCAGGGCGTCCAGGTTCCGGCACTCGTACGGACGAACAAACTTGCGCAGGGCTGGGGTGCTGTTTTCTTTTACCCGCTCCAGTGTGTCTCTCTGCGACAACCCCAAGGGCCTCATGAGAGTCTGCATGTCCACCATGTAGTCCGTGAAGCATTCTACATGAAGCCTCTGGGTGGGAAGAATTCCTGGAAGCTCTGAATGAACCCTGCCCATGTCTCCCAGAACCTGTTGTTGGCAATGAACCACTTTAAGGCCCTGCCCTTTAGCAGCTCAAGCATCGCTCGTGCGATCTGGTTGATGCCCAGCCCATACGTCATTGCTGACCATTCCAGCTGCTCCAGGAATTCCAACGGCTTTTCGTGCCCGTCGTACCGGAAACTCCACACTCGCACCTGTTTCGCCACCTTTGCGTAATCTTGCGGGGCTGCTCTTGTGGTTTCCCGACGATCATGGCTGGCCTCCCGACTCTCTCTCCTCGAACGGCTGCTTTCCCGTCGTTCATGACCGACCTCCTGCCTTTGCTCGCTGGGAATTGCAACGGCTAGCTCAGAGAGTTTGTGTGTTCGTCCCACCAAATTTATGATTTGTGTGATTGCCCGACCAAAGAGAAGACAGAGTTTAGGTTAGAACGGCTTTATCTGCAGTCTTCTTTACTGACCGATTCCTATGGTCCTCGCCGTCGGCTGCGCGGTGTCGCTCTCTCGTCGTCCTTCCCTTGCTTCACGACCGTGTCGGCTCGAATGGGGCTTAGGATGTTATGGTGGGAAGGTGTATCGCCCGTTGGGACAAGCTGAGCTAATGGACAATCAGAAATCAATCGAACTGGATAAGGTAAACCTAGAAGAGTTGAACCCAGATAAAGCCTCGGCCAAAGTAGCCGAAATTTCGAGATCGGGCTACGACGCTGGTGTTATTTCCGAAATTGAACAGGAGAAAGAAAGAGACGGCTATAGTGTTTTGGCGAGCAGTGACGAAGTGGCGGCGTATGATGAAATTCTGGAAGGTTCTGATGTAGCGGCTGCGAACGTGCAGCTTCGTGATCGAATGATGGCGAACGTCGAGGCAGAAATACAATATTTGCAGCGAATTGAGAGGCTGTACGCTGCGCGCAAACGAGTGGCTAATTTAGAAAATGAGTTGGATCAAAAAAAATCAGCTCAAGAAGACAACATTTATATGAGTGTTTTGGATGCCCTAATTCAATCAATTCTGGAGACAATGGATACCCTGTGCTGCGTTGGATCGAAGACTTTTCGAATGTAATGGATATATATAAGGTTGTCAAATATCTCCCGCCTTTTTGTCTTTTGAATTTCGCGGCTATGTACAAAGCGCTACAGAGCTCGTAATTTGAAAGGTCTTGACATAACCTACAAAACGACGCTATGCATGATTAGTTTGCATATTGCGTTCAATAGTTATAGACGTGTAAACATGGAGTTCACTAACGCCGAAATTCGCGCTATTTTAAAGTTTTCCTTCGTTAAAGGCAAATCCGCTAGAGAAACGTTCCGTGAGATTAATGGTGTTTTGGGGGATGGTACTCTATCACTTCGAACAGCGGAGGAATGGTTTCGACGATTCAGAGCCGGTGAAAACGACACCATGGATAAGCCAGCCGGCGGAAGACCTGTGACGACAAATACCGATCAAATCATGGAATACATGGAGTTAGACCGACATGTGGCGTCTCGTGACATCGCCCAGGAGATGGGAGTTAGTCACCAAACCATTTTAAACCATCTGCAGAAGGCTGGTTACAAAAAAAAAGCTTGATGTTTGGGTGCCGCATGATTTGACGCAAAAAAACCTTCTGGACCGAATCAACGCCTGCGATATGCTGCTGAAACGGAACGAACTCGACCCATTCTTGAAGCGGATGGTGACTGGCGACGAAAAATGGATCACATACGACAATATCAAGCGAAAACGGTCGTGGTCGAAGGCCGGTGAATCGTCCAAAACAGTGGCCAAGCCGGGATTGACGGACAGGAAGGTTTTGCTGTGTGTTTGGTGGGATTGGAAGGGAATCATCCACTATGAGCTGCTCCCATATGGCCAGACGCTTAATTCTACCATCTACTGCGAACAACTGGACCGCTTGAAGCAGGCGATCGAACAGAAGCGTCCAGAATTGGCCAACAGGAAGGGTGTAGTGTTCCACCAGGACAACGCCAGACCACACACTTCGTTGATGACTCGTCAGAAGCTACGGGAGCTCGGATGGGAGGTTTTATCGCATCCACCATATCGCCCGGACATAGCGCCAAGTGATTACCACCTGTTCCTGTCCATGGCGAATGCCCTTGGTGGTGTAAAGTTGAACTCAAAAGAGGCTTGTGAAAAGTGGCTTTCCGAGTTCTTCGCAAATAAGGAGGGGGGCTTCTACGAGGTAGGTATTATGAAGTTGCCGTCTAGATGGAAACAGATTATCGAACAAAACGGCGCATATTTGAACTAAATCCGATCACTGTAACACTTTTTATAAAGCATTGAATAAAGAGCAAAAAAGCGGAAGGGAGATATTTGACAACCTATTATATTGCGTGTCGGAGAAAAAACGTTTTATCTTCGCCAAACGTTTACTGACTGGATCAGCAAGAGTGTTCATGAATAAAACGGCAGCTTTGGATTGGCCGAGTTTGCGAGCAGAGCTGATTGCCGTTTTTGACTTCAAGATTACTGCATTCGATGTGTTCAAGCAACTGGATGCTAGGAAGAAGTTACCTGACGAGGGTGCTCTCCAGTATTTTTTCTCCATGTGCGACAGGTGGAGTTGGCACCAGAAGATATTATTCGATTCATCGTAAAAGGCTTGGGAGATGAATACGCAGATGCGTCTACAATGGCTTATTGTAGTTCTTTGGAGGAGTTGCGAAACAAAATTATGATCTACGACAAATTTAAGAAGATGACGGCCCAAATTTCAAAGTCGGCGGAGAAAACTAAAGTGGTGAAGCCCCAAGTCCGTGTGTCCATGCCCGAAACCATTCGTTGCTACAATTGTAGGCAAATGGGACACATGGCTAGAGAGTGCAAACAATTGAAGAGGCGGGTGGATCATAATTACCAGCAATGTCCCGAGCGGAGGGCGTCAACCAGGCCGGCAGTTCTGCAGGATGAGGAGGAGTCAGGATCAGAGAACTTGGCAGCGATTCAACAAATAGAGATCTGAGGTTTGCGAGGTGAAAAGGGAAAATACATTTCTAATTTAAGTCTATTTGATACCGGCAGCCCGGTAAGCTTAATTCCTAAGTCATTAATTCCGAAAAATATTGTTTTGAGTTCAAAGAAATCGAAGTACTCTGGCTTAGGGGGACCTTAAATATCGATTTGGGGCATTTTGAAAGCCTCTGTTAAATTTTATGCGAAAACATATTCTATCCTCTTAAATATTTTTGATGACAAAATATTACCACTCACTGTAATGAACGTTCAATTAGTTCATAGAAAAAACATTAATGATACTTATAAATCCAAAGATTCTTCCCTTTTCAACAATACAAGTAATTTAAGTACAGCTATTTATAAACCCATAAATTTAAGTCATAATCACAACTCTGGTTTAGATTTTGAAAATTCTGTAGAAATTTTGGATGCTGACAGTGATGCGCAGAGATTTTTGGCTGACATTGAGCCATCATTAGAGGATTCATTTGAGATAGGCACTGAGTTTTGGTTGGAAATTGCAAATAGGTGTGAAAAAATTATTCAATCTCATTATTTTAGTATCCAATACGATTATAACACTGCATCTAGATATCAGATGTCTATTAGATTAACCGATACCACTCCGTTTTACTGTTCTCCGAGACTTTTGTCTTATATTGAGAGGTAAAATGTAGCGGAAATCGTTGATGATTTGCTTAAGAAAAAAATAATACGTCATAGCGCCTCACCTTATGCGTCACTTTTGGTCCTTGTGAAGAAAAAGTCTGGTAAAATTCGAATGTGCGTTGACTACCGTGGCTTAAACAAGCGTATCGTTAAAGATAATTTTCCTTTGCCCCTTATTGAAGATTGCCTGGAGTATTTGCAATGGAAATGTTGTTTTTTTGTGATTGAATTTAAAAGCAGATTTCATCAAATAGAGGTCGAAAAAAATCCGTGCCGTATACATTGTTACTCCTCAAGGACAATATGAGTATTTGAGGATGCCTTTTGGATTGAAAAATGGAATCGCATTTGGAAGCCTTGAGAAATTTCCCTGTGCCGCAGAATGTTCATAGTCTTCACTCCTGTTTAGGATTCTTTTCGTATTTTAGACGTTTCGTCCTGTCACTTGCGCGTATAGCTAAATCCTTGACAGAGTTGTTGAAGAAAGTCCTATTTCACTGAATGATGAGCAATTAAAAGCGTTTAACGATTTAAAGAACGCTTTAGCTAATCCACATGTTTTAGCCATTTTCAGTCGAGAAAATTGGTCGAGAAACCGAGCTCCATACGGATGCCAGTGCCCATGGATTTGGAGCTATAATATTGCAGCGACAAGATGATGGAAAAATGCTATTTCGATTTATTCCGGTAAAAACACTGCAGCAGAATCCCGATACCATACTTTTGAGCTGGAAACACTAATGATACTTATAAATCCAAAGATTCTTCCCTTTTCACTGCTAAAATGAACAATACAAGTAATTTAAGCACAGTTATTTATAAACCCATAAATTTAAGTCATAATAAATGCGTTGCGCCGGTTTAGAGTATACCTTGATCATAGATCGTTTAAAATAATTACTGATTGCAATTCGTTAGTGCAAACTCTTAGTAGAAAAGCGTTTAATCCTAGGATTGCCAGATGGTCCCTTGAGTTAGAGAATTACGATTATTCGATTATTCGACGCTTTAAGCAGACAGATAGATGTTGTAAAGTTGTTAAAAGAGAGTGAGTTTGGCGATAATGAAGTCTTGTTAGAAAACCTTGAGGAAAACCGTAGAGACCAACCGTAGAGAACAGTAGAGACAAACTTTTCGAAAACCTTAGAGACAACCGTAGAGATAGCATTATTCAAAGCCTTTTAGAAATCCGTGGACACACCCTTGTTGATAGAGTGCCACTTGATGACCTTTGTGAAGATCCCTTAGACTTCGTGTTATGTTGGAAGAAAACCTTCGTGAAGAAGAAGAGGAAGAGAATGGTGGAATCAATTGTGAGAAAGCTGCCAGTAATTACATGAACGGTAGTAAAAAAGCCTGGGGAGATGATAAATTGGAGTTTCGTGAGGACGCTTTTCTAAAATCAATACCGTTAGTTGGAGTTGTAGGAGCAACACCTGATGACGTAGACCTAATTCTACAAACGGAGCAAATGAGGAATAAAAATATAGTTCATTTGAGAGAGGAAACGTGCGAAACGTGAGTTAAGGGGTGGACTAGTATGTCGAAAGAACGTGGATGATTCTTATTGTTTGTATGCACCTGCTTGTATGGAAGAACAGCTAATTAGAAAATCTCACCTGACAGCAGATAAGTGTGTTAAGGATTTGAGAAGGACCTATTGGTTTCCAGAAATGAGAACTAAAGTTGAGCATTTTATTAGAAATTCTATTCATAATAGAACCTTGCATAGTATTCCTAAACCTTGTATTCCGTTTCATACACTCCATATAGACCATTTAGGTCCCTTACCGAGTATCATTTCAAAGAGAAAGCATCTCCTGGTTGTTATAGATGCTT